GATATAAGTTAAAGTTAACAGAAGAGATAATGAGTGTAGTTTTTGGAGTGAATTACGTATGAACTGGAAACTTTTCAATTATGTAAGGCTATTATTATATTCTACAAGAACTTTCGTCCAAATTAGAGCGAATAGTTTCACAGTATATGTGCGCTGTAAGAATCGACGTAAGACTTTTCCTTGAAAACGCTTGGACCAGATTACCAAGACAAAAGGTTGGATTTACTTCAAAGTTATTCGTTGAGATTTTACAAATATATTATTCCTATTTAATGGTTATTATTATTAATTTCAATGGATTTTTATTTATTGAGTTCTGACACAACTCTTTATTCAGCTTCAACTAGTTAGTCATTGAAGTTTGTATTCAGACATAAATGACAAGCTTATTAATCATTTCGAAATTTACTGTTTAAATGTTTATGCGTAATAATAAATCTTGCATTCCTAGTTATTTTAAATCCTCCTATAGCAGGTCATTGTGTTTTTATACGTGAGTTTGGCAATTGTTGTCCTTAGCTTCCTCAAAATAAACTCTTTCAATAAGTAAGTCATATTATTTTATGAAGCAGGATAGTACATGAATATCAGATTCAAAAGGTAATGGTAACACGAGAATCAAACAAATGCAGATTTTGACTTGGATTTTGTTGGAAACTATCATGATATTACTTGAGTTTTGGTTGAGTGATCTTTTCAGTTTATAATATATCAGTGCATGCATATTTGAGGTGTGCCAATCACTATGGCTCCATGTTCAAAAAAGCGAAATTGTACCAACCATTCTGTTGCAAGTATTGATTAATATCTTGGTTACATCGGTGTCGATGGTGTTAACTTATAGGTTACTGTTCAATTATAACCATGTAGTTTTAGCAGAACAATTTTCAGTTTAGGTGTCTTCTCAAACCTAGTTTCATTTTCATAGTAGACACCGTGAGATCACGATACTTTTTACGTAAGCAACACAATAAAAGAGGTTTTTAATTATTAAACTTTCCAAAATTTGAAAACTGCTAAAATGAACTCAAAATCGCCAAAAGTCATGAAAACATTTCATCAAAAGGAATAAATCATGTTTATTTGTTTAACTACTCATTAGTAGCATAAAATTATTTTTTTAATTTCTTCGTGGAATTCAGGGTCAAAATTAAATGTGGGATGAAATATTTTAATGAGAAAATGAAAAAAGAAATCTTAGTTGATAAGAATAATTCCAATCAACAAATTTCGAACAACGGCCAAACAGTTTATTTCGCGACTTCAAAGTTCACACAGTAATCATATTCCTAAAGATTTAAAGTACACAACAAACCGCCTGTTTGTACAAAACTGATGTGTATTTCATAGAGATTATTGTAAATCATACTAAAACAACTGAAACTTATGGAAGCTAAGAACATATTAACACATTTTGCAGAATAATTAAATTAATTTGAATATACATATTTGAATATCACTGTACATTTTCACTGCCTTCAATTCAAGACTTTGTTGATTCGTAATAATAATCATCACGTACTACGTTATTCTTAATTGTTATGATTATTATTGCCATTATACTATGAACATTGACATGTTAGAGTTTGGTTTAATACTATCTTCTCTATAATGCCTTCTTTGACGATGCAAATTTTTATTATTAATCAATATTAGTTACGCATTCTGTAAATATTTGCATTTTGGAATGACGATTTATTATTTACTTACTTACGACTGTTAATCCATATGGAGGTTCATAGGCCGCTCGCCAGCATTCTTCATCAAACTCTGTCCTGGACGATCCTTTACAGTTCTTTTTGAGTAGTCAGTTGCTTAGAAATACTTGTACACTTTTGATGATGGCCTTGACAGTTCACCACGTTTCAACTACGTACAGTAGAACTAACTGTCTTCGCGTTCGTATTGAAACTTCTGAATTTGATGTTGGCTTGCAGATAGTTGTTTTGCGTTTCATGTGTCTTGTTCAACTGTAGGAATGATGTCCTTTCTCTGCCGATATGTGCCCTTATGTGTTCATCTGATCCTCCTTGTTCATCAATAATGCTACTTAGATACGTGAAAGATTCCATTTATTCAAGAGTTTCTCCGTCAATTGTGATTGTGTTGGTATTCGCCGTGTTGTATTTAAGGATGTTGGTTTTTCTCTTGTGTATGTTAAGGACTATTGATGCAGAACAATTTATTATTGTTGTACATAAGCATTTATTATAGTGACTTGGCTTCGAGATAATTTTTCAGGCTTCATTTATCAATCACTCTGATAACAGTTGTTAAATTACTCTCAACGGTGTATGAATTCAGAAGGAAACACGAAGCGCCGAATACAGTTTATTATTGGATAACGCAGATAACAGAAATACAAGCACATCAAGAGAATTTGAGCAGAAAAGGTAATGCACGCAAACAAGTAAATATGGAGACGAATTCAGAGTCGAATCGAATCGGAACAAACCAATTAATAAGTACACACATATATGGGAAAGCGATTGATTCATCAAACGATATTTAAACAACAAATATTTAAGCGATAGAGAGATATGTGAGTAGGCTGTCACATGTGATCAAGCATATATGTTCATACAGATAAGATAGTAATAATAATACAAACTATTAGACAAATTGTTACTGTTCGAATAACACTTAAATAAGTTGTTGAAAGGATTTGACAAAATTTACCGTAAACAAAATTAATTGTAGGAGAGGTGCTGTACATATATAACTATAAGGGTTCTCAACTTCAAGCAGTATTTAAATTCGCTAAAAGTAATGTTGAAATGAGTCTTACGATATTCATTTTAACCATATAAATTTATAAATTGACGTTTTAGATGAACGGAGACACCGGAATTAATGATTAACAAGATATTCTAATTCTTTAAGTTATTTAACAATCTTGTAACTAAATGTGTGGTGTTTTGAAGATTTTTGAATTTTAATGAAGTCATGAATCGATCTAATTTGGAATACCGGTGAAAAACTGGAAGCACTGGATGGCTATTTAGTTATAGTACGGAACTCTTCATGGTGCTTATCTACGTCTACCAAGCAAGAATCGAACCCAAGACCATGTAGTATAGGTTGATATATTAAGCTCATATACTTTATTCTAGACAATTCACCTGTCCATTATGAGACATGTTTTCACCTCGTCAATTATTCACTTACTAACGCCGACTCTTTTCTATATGAGCGTATTCGTGTGTGTACACTTCTTATACTATTTATCACATGTCTGTCATTTATTCTCGTCTGACTATAAATATTAATTAACGCTTGATTAAAACAAGTTGGCTTAGCCGCCATTTGTCAATAAAACTATAGCGGCCTCTTCTCTTTGCCTTCTGATTTTATGCACCATTAAGATTTGTATTATAACGATTATCGAGATGAACGATAAAACACATCACAGCACTATAACCGGTTTGACAAGTGAATGTTTAACATTTAAAACATTGAAACAGCTTTCAACTTATTTCTTTACGTTTTTTCTGGGTATCGTATGTAATCAAACATTAGACAGGGTGCTTCTTACAAGTTTTTATGTAAACATTAATAATGCTTCCTGTTAAATCTATACAACTAATTCTTAAAACATCTTCCGTTGCATTGAAGTGATTATTTTTTTTCTTCAGCTATCTTCAACTCCTTCGGTTTGTGTTATTTATATCTTTTTCCCTGTAAACATTTAGGTCTATCCTATTCAATATAAAAGTTGAACTCTTACCCTATTGGTAAATATATTTAACAAGTTATTTAAGGAAATGTTATAGTATTGAATTGATTCATTTTTCATTTTGTAGATCTACTTCCTTATTATTATTATTATTATTATTGTTAGTAGTAGTAGTAGTGGTAGTAGTAGTAGTAGTATGTTTGACCTAAGATATAAAATCTAAATACAAAACAACATAATATAACAGTAGTAATTTGAAAATTGATTGAATTTTTCATTATTTTCTTCCATTTTTTGTTCGGTGAAAATACCTTGTTTCTGAAATATTTGAACTTAATAAAAATGTACATAGTGAAGTATATCAAAGCATAGATATGTTGTATTCAATAGTGATGTTATATAATCTAATGAAATAGTTATTTACCCTGAAGAAGTGAGTTACATTAGGTTACGGGCGTAGGAGACGCAGCATGCATCGGTGGCGTGAGATTCTCAAGTCCTAGCTAAAGAAACCTGTTGTCATATTTGTCACAGTGTTCGGAAGTCAGAGGTTCCTACATGTAGTTTAGAGAGTCGTTTCAAGGACCGGAAGTAACGTTCCGTGTACTCGAATCTTTTGCATTAGCGGCGCGAGGTGATAAAGGGACGTATGAAGGTTTAGTGGGGGAGATAAGAAAGTTACTAGGTGTAGGAAGGATTTGAAAGTGACCAACTTGGTCTCATAAGCTGTTATGGGTATGAAGACTGGTATCACTTCCCGGCTACCCACACTGTGGAAGGGTATGTCCTGAGGAACATGAAAAGGAAGCTGTCTTAGTGTTAGCTTAGCTACCTGAGAGCATGACCTCAGAGTGCTTGAGGCCGGTCACACATGACCTTTCCGTGTGGGGTTTTTGACGTGTTAGCTCCTTTCTTCAAACGGCCTTACCACTGGAGACGGAAGCCCATGAGGTAAGGTGAGGTTGACCTTTTTTAACCCCTTCCTTCCTTGTGAGAAGACGGTATTGCTGCAGATACTGGTTGCCTTAGGGAAACACCTTACTACTGTCACACCGCTCTACAGTCAATAGTAGACTTCGCCCTCAGATCATGAGTTTAGTCTTAACGTTCTCCAATCGACCTGCCTGGCATGGTAGAACCTACATAAACACAGATTTCAGCCAATTTAGCTCCGTTGGATCATTACGATAGGCAAGCCCGACCACCACGTCAAGGTAGCAGCTACGGTATATATATATATATATATATAACTTTTGTCATTCCATGTCTTTACGTCATTCATCTTAATTATTTTACATTATAGCATACCTCAATGTTACCTTTCAATACATATATGTTTGTAAGTGATTGGTACAAAACCACGAAACACATAATGAATTTATATTATTCTGCATCAATTGTTGTTGTCGCTTTATCTAAATTACTTAAAGACTTTTCAGCACTGTGAGCTCATGAACCACACTAGACTCAACTATCAAGCTTCGTTATACACGGTAACTTAAGGACATTAAAAAGCATCATACTGGAACGAAACAGTTGTTCAGTTACATTTAAAAACTTCAGACTTATCAATCATCATCATTAGTAAAACCGACATCATTATTACAAACATCAATTAACAAATCTAAATCATAGTTATCTATTTAGTTTCTTTTCTGATTATAACAGTATTTCTAATGACACCAATAGTAAGACAAAGAGAGATAGATAGATAGATAGATAGACGGATAGACAGAGAGAAATAAAGATTATCAGCCATAATAATAATAATGATTGGAAAGGAAAACAAAAGTATGCACAGCATATACGTACAACTTATGTAACAAGATTAACTAATTGATATTAACATAAGTAATCAAATTGCATGTTACAATTAAAACAACATACCATCTATAAAAAGAAAAGATACCTCTGTTCCCATCCAGTTAACTTCAAATAATAATAATGATAATACTTAAAACAACATGTAAAGATAATTTGCAGAAAGGATTAATGTTAATAAAAACAAATTGAGTAGAAATGCTTTGCACAGATACATAATTGTTAGTTGTTGTTGTTGTGGTGATTGTGATGGTGGTGATGGTTGTGGTGGAGTTCTTATTAGTAGTATTTAATGCCTAAATGATATTAAGTAATGTTACATATAGTAAAACGTACATATATAAGTTTCTATTTACTTTCAATGCATAATTATTAGTTATGTAAACAAAAGTTTAGAAACAAAAAAAAAGATTAATGAATACCAACAAGAAAACTTGTAATGTCAAAGAGAAAAAGGTGGTTTGTTTGTTTGTTTCCTCTTTTCACTAATCAATAAAACTTTTTTTTAAGTTGTCATTTAACGCCATGGTTCATATAATCGTATATCACCTTCTAATTGGGCAATTTGTAAATCTTTTTCGGCTAATTGTTTACGAAGACGTTGAATTTCTCTTCTTTGTTCAATAAATGCTTCACGTAACTAAGAATGAAAATCAATGAATGGATGGATACACAAAAGGAATGAATTATAATATTTAAAAAGATTTAGCAGAATTTGTTATGGAGAGCATAAACCAGCTTCCAGCTGAAGAGGAAATTAGGAAATGACGTTGAAATTGGATAGAACATACATTAAGGAAATCACTAAAGTGCCCTACAAGACAATCCCTAACCTGGAATCCGGAAAATAATCAGAAAAGAGGAAGGTCAAAGAACACATTACGCTGAGAAATAGAAGCAGATATGAAAAGGATGAATGTTAACTGGAAAGAATTGGAAAGGAAGGCCCAGGATAGAGTAACCCCATGAGGGGTAACAGGCGTAAATAAGTAAGTAAGGATTTGTTATTGAATCATAATGTTGAAATCGTTGAAATTAGTAGTAAACAAATTAGTAAGTCTATATAAGTAGGTCAGAAAAGATATTGTAAGAGGTTAATGATGAAAAAATTAATTCATCATAGAATCTATACTTTAAACCATGTTTTATTATTATTTTCTATTGATGTCGCTTTAAATTATGTAGCTTCAAATTTTGGTGTATGTGATATTGAGTCATTTAGACTAGCAGTAACTTTGCGACTTGATCGGTAGAACTTAATGCATGTTCACAAACCGAATCTGTATATCCAAAAGAATTTTGTAAAACCACTTTCGTTACCTTGGTCATCTTTATAGCGGAGTCTGTAGTAGAACTTAGGTGAACAATTATCGTATTCCTTTTTTGTATTTTACTTATTCTCCACATTCGTCTCTTGATTCTTACATAACTACTGTATTACTGAATATTCATCAAAATATTCTGTTAGTTCTTTCTTCTCCTTTTATATATTATGCAACGTAGCAACAGCTTGATTTTCGAATAATTACTTTGATTATTATTAATCTTCTTTCTTCCAACTAATAATCGGCGCCATTATATAATCATTACGTAACGTATCTACTTGATGAGTGTTATTCAATTATTGTAAATCATATATATTAATTATCAAAAGGGGTTTTGTGGAGATTTCGTATTTTTCATAGTTGAAAGTGTGGGTCAATTGGAGCTAGACCACCATGGTAAACCTGGAAACACTGAACGGCACTGCTGAAGAGTCCCATAATAGGACGAAACTGCCGTCCAGTGTTTCCAGGTTTTCCATGGTGGTCTAGCTTCAATTGGCTCATGCTTTTAACTAATCATATATATATATATTAGTGTAGAGCCATGATGAAAAACTAATTGGAAAGAAATTTCTTCGCTCGATTCATTCCTTTCAACGAGGACTAATGATTAAGAAAACATGATATTGGCTTTCAGGGATTGATCAGCTTAGTAATCCCTAATATTTTAGGGATGTTTTACTATCAGTCATTCAATCGATCTATTTAGTTCTTAAATATAGAGGACAATGGAATTTTTAAATCTATCTGCAATATCCAAAAATCTTACAAAATAATATTTTTCCCAATTATCTCTTTCAATATAGAGCTCACTATAAAACCATTAACTGATTGGCTTCATACAATGAAACAAATAACCAATCCATTTTGTTTGATCATGTAAAACCCACATATGATTAGTTATAAAAGCAAGAGAACTTTTTGATGGATTTTTTGTTCTCTGAGCTGGATGATTTGGTCGTAGAGCTTTCATCGTCATTCTGAACGACATTATCAGCACAAACTTCGGGTTGAAGTGAACTTTATTCAATAGTAAGTAATTGAAGGTAATCATTGTCCTATTTTCTATGATTAATAACTAACTCTGTGTTTCTTCTCATTTTCCAGCTACCTTATATATCTTTATATGTTATTGTTAGTTGTCAGCTGTACTACTTTTAATCAAAAGACGTCTACATTTGTGTTAGACACCAGTCTAATGTAATGAAAACTAGTACATTAAAGTAGCTAAAATAAAATATCCAAATTTTAACATAATTTATACCTTTTGATAATCCGTAGGTAAATGGCTTAAAAGTTCAGACTTTTTCGGTGCACCAGTTACCTATAGAATAATAAAAAAAAATAAGTTGACCAAATAAATTACATTGTAAGTGTTATCCACACTTTTTATTTGCGTAATAATTCACTTATATATATGTGTGTGGTGAACTGAATATAGGTATTAGAATGCTGTTATCAAATTAAATATTCCATAATTGTTAAATTATGAAATTCCTCTCTACTGATACTTATACTAGTGGTAATGATAATGTCGCTAGCAGTGGCATGAACTTATGGAAATGATCAATTGTATCATTGGTGTACAAACTTTCGTTCTAGTATAGGACTCTAAAGTGGTGCACTTCCACGATCCCTCACACAAGACTCAAAACCAGGATCTTCACTCTTGCGAGCGAACGCTTAACCTTTAGACCAACGAGCAGGCATCAAACTATGATCATCTGCAACGTTTCATCCATTGTCTGAGGTTGATAACTGTCTCCACCTGGCACGAATTTGACTGTACTGGTCAAGGCTTCTCACTAGAACTCCAGGGAACCCATCTTGAATCTATTCAGTAGTGAGCAAATGATTGTTATCAATATGGGGGATTTGTGGAGATTGTAGTACTTTCACTGTTGAATTCACTAGTCAATCTAAACGATATATTAACACCGTTGTATGCTGGCTCAGTGATCTAGAGTTTTAGAATTTGCGCACGAGACTAAAAGTCCTATATTCGAGTACTACATGGGGTATCGCGGGTGCATATGCTGATAAGTTCTACACTAGAACGAAACGACCATCCAATGCTTCCAGGTCTCACACGCGGACGCTTAACCTCTAAACCGCTTGAGCCAACACACAACAATGTTAATATACAGTTTAGATCGGCTCAACTATTGAAGTTACTACAATCTTCACAAACCTTCATTCAGTTAAATATTAATTGGTTTTATTTCATTTTTAATTAACTATTCATTAGCATTACTAAATATCACAAATTGACTTTTATATAAGTCATTATAATTAGAAGGAAATAGAAAAACCCATGTATTTGCACTAATTCAATGCTGATATCATGAAGAAAAATAATGATAAATCATAATTTATTCAACAGACTTATAAACAGAAGCGGTTTTTGTAGATTATATAATAATTTTAATAGTTGAAATCATGCGTCAATTGGATCTAGACCATCATGGAAAACCTGGAAGCACTGAACAACCTTTTCTTTATATTGTGGGACATTAACACCCTTGGGTGTCAAACAGCTCAGTAGTCTGGAGGTTAAGTGCTCGTGCGCGAGACTGATTGTTCCTGGGTTTGAATCTCGTGAGGCGGGATCGGGGATGCGGACTACTGAGGCGTCCCATAACAGGACGAAAAGACCATCCAGTGTTTCCAGGTTTTTCATGGTGATCTAGCTTCAATTAACACACGATCTCAACTATTAAGATTTATAATCAATTTATTTTAATTGTTTAACTAAAAGATAATTTGTTTATATCACAGTTTTATATTTTAGAAGTTTAACTTACATTGCCAATATCTGTTTGTTTATTTGAATCATTAGTTAATGGTTCAATCCTCCTAGTGAATGATCCAATAATTGGCTTAAAATTATAAAAGAAAATTAAAAATTATTAATTCGTTATAAACAAACTATTTTTTATCGTAATAATCGTTAAAATGTATTCTGTTATTGAATTATGGAATAAAAATAGTCACTATTCAATATGATTAAGAGAAATAATTACCAATTCATCTGTTTTATGATTGAAATCATGAGACAATTGAATAGACCACCAAGAAAAACCTGGAAGCATTTAATGGCCGTTTCATTCTATTATGGGACTCCTCAACAGTGAGCATCCACCATCCCGCCTCGCGAGATTCGAACCCAAGACCTACCAATTTTGTACGCGAGCGCTAAACCTCTAGACCACTAAGCTGATTGGCATTCAATGGTGTATATGTCCCTCAATAGGACGAAACTGCCGTCCAGTACATCCAGGTTTTCCATGATGGTCTAGCGTCAATCATGATTTCAACTATAAAATTATTAAAATCTCCACAAAACCCATTTCTGATAATACATCTGTTTGTTATAGAAGACTGATAATATAATGAATGCCAAAACTAATCTATGATAAATGGATACATTCTAGTAGAAAACTATATTTCTTTTTAAATGAGAAACTGTAATAGATTGAGGTACTTTATTACATCCATTGTATTGTTTTATATGTAAATGTACAAAAATTGTGAATTGGATAGATTCATGCATATCAGTTTCTTTCCACTTTTTTTTTCCTTAAACGAAAACAAACCAAATTCCTATGCCATTTTCTTCCTAGTTGTAAATTTGAATAGAATAGGAATAATGAATGTGGTAGTATAATAAGAATTCAAGTGTTTATTTTTTTCTCTGTTTTAGAAATAATAAAAGTCATTAAAATTACAGTACAAGTATACATAATTCGTTCTTTTGTATTGGTTATTTGAATCTTCCCATTGATGTTTAGGATTGCGATTGATCAGTCTCTTATTAGCATATATATATATCCTGTACGGATTGCCTCGATATTGCCTTAATTCACAAGCATTATAACCAGAGATGGATGGTGGTTGAAGTGGGATTCAAGATTCATCTTTTGTATTATTTGGGACTAATCGGCAGGATGTACATGCATCTCAGAGTTGATGTTTACTCCAGGAATTTATGCAGGAAAACATTCAAGTTTAGAATAACAAAGTAATAATTGTCAAAGAATTATAAGTTATTCAAATGGTCATTTATTTATAGGTCAAGTGTATGAATATTCTAGAAGACAAGACTGAGAAGAGTATAAAAATAGGATTTTCCACAATTCTAGCTCAAGTAATATCTAAAATAATTAAATAAATGAATTAAGTAAAAATAAGAAGCAAGAAATAACAAGTTGCAAACAAGATTGGGACTTCAATAAAACTTTATAGTTTCGAGGTTGTCATGTTACTGACTGCTAGTATCATGTCTACTGTAGAGCAAATGATGAACAATTGCATTATTGTAAACGTATTACCTCTCTAGTCACAATTTTTGTTCAGTAAGTTTGCAAGTGCGGATTCAGACTCGTTTTCGTTATTACATTGTACATCCTTCGACAAGCACAGGTAAACAGGTAGACACAATTGTAGATAACATAAAAATGTAATTCACATGAAGGCTTGTCGCTTTTACAATAATGTTAAGTAACATTTCTTAAACTTTAATGACAGCACGTTCCGCGGGAAACCCGATGAAATTTAGTGTACATTGATATCTTGTTTTTCTTAGCATTAGATCACGAAATGTCAAGACGCTCAATTAATTACAACTTTAAAATAATATCATTTCTAAAGTCGCTAAACTCTACTAGACACAGACGTAAGTTGAGATTTGTTAATTCTCTCAAAGCCACTGATAAGTGGTCATGAGATTACTGCGTAGTCAAAAGTACTGAATAATCGTCAGAGAATTAAATCATTACTAGACCTGAAAGTTTAAAAGTTAACAGTATTTATTAGTGTAGATTTATGACATGAGACAAATATTCTTACCAATTTTCTGGTATCGACCTTCATCTTTTACACACTAGGCAAAAGATATGAATTATTATTCTCCGAATTCGATTTTGAGAGGCTGAGTAGTGTATAATCAGCTGTTACACGATGGATTCAAAATCGAATACATGAATCCCTAAGTAGCAAGGCAGTTACATCAATTACTATTAATATATGTCAATTCAGGTATACCGATTGAATAACTACATATTCAATTTGGTTTAATGTTAAAGACCTAGCAGTCTCGCGTCAAAGCGCTTAACCCCAAGATCACTTAGCCGGCATCCGTTGGTGTTAATATCTTACTTCGACCAATTCACGAAGTTGAGCAACCGTTCACCAGTTGTCTTCAGTGAGTTGAAATCTTACAAAGGACCTGGTTAAACTTCTGGGTTCGAATCTCGCGAGGAGTTCCACAACAGAACGAATCAGCCGTCCAGTTTTTCCATGGTTATCTAGCTTCAACTGACTAATGATTTCAACTATGAAAATACTGAAATCTCCACAAAACCCCTTCTAATATACAAACATTAAACATTAAAATGTATACTTATTGTTTTAGTTAATAGATATATAAATCTATTCTAATGGATTGTTTCTATAAAAGCTTTCATAAAAATGAAATAACAACTTTGTAAATAATTAATTTGTATTATAGTTCATTTGTTTACTGTAAACAATTCCATTTGGTTAGAAATACTTTCATCGACATTTAGAAGTTGAATTTTACATGGTTTCAAAAGGGTAAAAAAAGGTAAACAACAGTTGGTGTTTATTTATTTATTTTGCAATGAATTTAACATTTTTTTCATGATAATAGAATATAATAACAGCTAACAGAAAGAAGGAAGAAAGGAATTTCATGTTGAATATTTGGCTTTTAATATCAGAAAGGTTTATTGTGGATATTATAGTAATTTTCATAGTTGAAATCATGAGTCAATTGAAACTAGACCACCATGGAAAATCTGAAAGTACTAAATAGCCTTTTCGTTTTATTGTGGGACTCCTTCAAGAGATATTTCCTGGAGTTCCAGTGGGAAGCAGTGACCAGTAGAGTTCAACTACGTCTGTTGTGAGATATAAACTCACTGAAGACAAATGATGAACAGTCGCTCAAAATTCGTGGATTGGTTGAAGTTAGACATTAACACCGTTGGATACCAGCCGGTTCAGTGGTCTATCGGTTAAGTACTCTGGCGCGAGACTAATAGTTCCTGGATTCGGATCTCGCCAGGCGGGGTTGTACGTGTACACTACTGAGGAGTCCCACAATAGAGTGAAACGGCCGTTTAGTTCTTCCAGATTTTCCGTGATGGTCTAGCTTCAGTTGACTCATGATCTCAACTATTAAAATTATTTAACTTTTGTTAACCAGGATAAAACTAGGACTAAAACAGTCATCAAGTGCTTCTAGTTTTTCAATGATTGTTTAACAGTGACTAGATCATGACCTTAAGTAAACATTTAATTTAAAAGTCATTCCAAATAATAATTAATAACCATTAAGAAACTATAATAAATTAAAGAACAATGGATATTTGTGTTTTCTTATTCAAATATTATTTTAATAGGTTTCGTTGACCTTACATAATATGAATTTCCATTTTTTCTAGTGTCGGGGTGATCCGAAAAACTTCTAGCAATAGACAAGAAAGGCTCAATAAACACTAAGAAACATTTTATCCAATCAGCGTTTGACTAGAAGTTTGGCCAGAAACATCACGAAAGCGAAAAGTCATATGTAGAGTTTCTGATTGGCTGATTACTATACTACTACTATATTTAGCAGCATTTCAGAATTTTCGGGAAAACCCAAGGACGTCTAAAATACTATAAAAACCCTATATTTTCTGTACATGAATGAACTTTTGGAGTAAAGTGCTTCTCTCATATTTTTGCGCCTTTCTCTCGTGTTCACGTTGCCGTGTATATTTAGTTTGGGGGTTGCGAGAATAGCTTGGGAACCGAGTATAGCGTTCAATTAGCAAGATTTATCATCTAGGTTTTATGACAAATATGATAGATTCAAGTAAACAAAACGAAATTGCCAATTACTAGTCAATTATTTTCCTTCAGGTTTAATAAATGTAATGAATAGAAGTTAAAATAAATCACTCAGACATTTATTCTCTTTGAACTTTTATTACCTCTTGACTATCAAATTTAAAAAGTCACTGATATCTGTTTTTAGGCTTATCAAATCTTTGGATTTACCACCGTGAAATAAATTAAATAATGTGTGGTGTCCTAAAATTTCGTAACATAATTATTATTTGCGAGGACAGCCCCGGGTGAGCTCAAGGAAGCTCTTAGAAACTCAGAAACAGCAAGAAACATTGAATTCAATCATCTTTTTGGAAGAACATTCCAGAATCTTGACGTGTCGCTTACTGATTGGACAAATTTTAAAAACTACTGCACGTGGATTAGATGACTATGCTTATGATTTTGTTTTTACTAAAAACTATAACTGAGAGCCTTGTAAAATGTTTGACACTATTTAGAATAACATTTCTTCTCACTCGTTTTTTTCTCACTTTCGACTTCGATGGTGTTAAAGTTCTAATGCTCAAGTGGTACGCGTTATGACAAGAATCTAAGCTCTAGATATAACTCTATTAATATTAAATTAAATGATTATTTAAGTAGTGAAGCTATATGGAGCTATCCCGAAGAAAGCACTAGGAATAATCTTTAAACTTACTTGGCACACAGAAAGCAAGATGTTTAGAAGGGGATTTTATTCTTAAACATTTCATTTTATCCTTACAGTACTACTTTAGTAAAATATATCAAGCATTGAACAGTTTGAACAACACTAGAGTGAGTCATCTACACTGAAAAAAGTGTTTAATATTAAATGTATTGAGTATTATGTATCTTGTAAAATGATGAGTTATATTCAACAATTTGCTTCTTAAGAAAATACAGCGCTGTAATCAAGCAAAATGTTTATACCATGTCACAGGTCAGTGATCTAGAGGCTAAGCGTTCGCTCATGAGGCCGAAGGTCCTGGGTTCGAGCCCTGAATGGAGGATCGTGGATGCGTACTGCTGAGGAGCCCCACACTAGAACGAAATGGCCGTTCAGCACTTCTAGGTTTTCAATGTTAGTGTAGCTTAGATTGACTCATAAATTCAACTTTGAAAATACACATAAGTGTTCTCGATTGAACGACTTAAATTAATCTGCCAATACTTATTAAAATCATTTATAATTAATTGGTCACTGAGTTGCTATGTGACCACTAGTCTAGGTGACTCACCATCATGTGCACAATGTTGAGACAAGAGGTGATTGATGAATATATCTGGATGAAATATCATCAAATCCACCATGGAGTACCAGTTCCTCCAAAAATACAAGCATATCTTAGTGGCAAGTATCAAATGTCACGTAACCTATGTTTAAGGTTTCTTGTCAACCTAATATAACAAACAATCAAATATAAGGTATTTCTTTCCAAGTAATAATGCTATCATGACCGATACTCCTTGTTAAATTATCATAGCAAAGGTTTTAAAGCACAATTTACAATCCTTACTGAAACTTTAACTGTTATATCCCGCGGAGAATTATGAATGGTAACTCTGAGGACTATTTATGGGCCAATATGATATGTACATTTCCTATTGTATAATTGATAAGTAACTTAACTATTCATATTTGCGTCCCTCTTATCATAAGCTTTATTTTGACCAATGAACTATTATTATACGATTTACCATTCTTGAGTTATACCCAGTCTATTGATAACTGTTCCCCCTATTCACAGCCTCATTTGGCCAAATCTTGTACAAATGTTATTTCCTATTTTATAGTACGATGTGGTCTGTTTGTTTTGTATATAAACCCAGTATGTTTGTGAATTTATGATTCATATTGCAGAGGCTATTATTGATGTTCTGAACTTAACTGGTTGGGCTAGGCAGAAAGCAGGACTGATAAGTACTCAAGACTGCTCATAAAGTTTTGTATATCACTGGGCGATCAATAAATTCACTGCGTCTCTAATTGGCAGCCTTATAACGTTCATATATTAAAGGGGGCACGCATTCATTCGATATAAATATTAACCATAAACTTTCCAAATAGATCTATTTTAAGATAAGGTGGTGGTTGAAGGTGGTCAACCAGAAACTCTGGACCCGGGTTTCGTGCTACTTGGCACTCGTCAGCAAGGTGTACCTGTAATCTTGAGGGAACTGGTGCTCCCTGCTCAGCTTCACAGTCAGAGACGTTAGCACTGAGCTATCCGGGCCGCGAACGACCTCCTCTAGGACTGAGATGTAATCACAATTGATTGATCACGGGGTGGTTATCAATGTCATGCGTGTCAAGTCCTTCTTAGTGCTGATCGAATGCTATCAATCGGGTCCAGGATTTCCTGTTAACCATCTCCAATCACAATCTTATCTCAACATAGTGCACTCAGTGCCGAGCTACCTAGACTAGTGGCCACATTGCAACTTGATCGATAGCATTCGATCAGCACCAGCCGATGATCAATCAATTGAGATCTATTTTAAACATTCCTATAGTTGAGATAAATGATTATTTCATAGCGAATACATGGAATTCATCATCGTAGCTTAATACATGCCAATAATTGTGGATTCTTTTTCTTAATAAATTCTTCTATAAATCCATTCAAATCAATCAACTAATCCTTCTTATTACTAATTATTATCATACAAACATTTAGTCACATAATTATTCTCTCCAATTCATCTTATAATGATTCAAATCCACATACAATGTTAGTATGTTTTACAATGTGGATAACATACTACTGTTATTTCTTATTTTCACTATAGAAACAAAAAAAAGCAGCAAAAACGACCACCACAACACCATGATTTGTAACTTTATAATGGATAATACATAGATTTATGTCATTAAACAATTGTGTTACTAATTACTGTTATCGATTATTTTCACAAACATGTGGGACAAAATATTTATTTTTTTTTAAATTTTTCAGATGAACCGATTGTGTAGATACAACACAAAACCAGTAAATACATCTTTTTCGTAAAGTGTTTCCATGGTGATAACACAAGAATAAAAGCATAATAGTATCGTTATAAACTATTTTAGTTCCATGATATTATGATTTATGGATACATTAAAAAACAAAAATAAAGAAACAGGATCATAACTGAACTATACCAACAAGAGACGGATCAATTTCAGTCCTAAATAACAATTGGAAGATACATGTAAATAACACTAAGTGAATTGAACTATATAGTTGTAAATTTTTAAATATATTAAATGACTATCATCATGTATTTGAACTAGTTTTAATAAATAACATAACATATGGTAATCAGTAGGGGTTTTGTGGAGATTTCAGTATTTTCATAGTTGAAATCATGAGTCAATTGAAGCTAGACCACTAAGAAAAATCTGGAAGCATTGGACGGCTGTTTCAACCTATTGTGGGAATCCTTAGCAGTGTGTATCCACGATCTCGCCTCGCGAGATTCGAACCCAGGATCTACCAGTCTACGATAACTTAGAGTTAAGTAATGTTAATATTATTTAACTTACTTTATTACGTGCAATTCCATGTGGTGGAACAGGAGGAGCTGTTGTATTTTGTGAATTTGAAGCAACAGCTGCATTGAATTTTGCTTGAATAGGTGTATACTTTTGTGAATTACCATAATTGGCTGTTCTAAGTTGTGGTGCACTTGGTGTACGTTGACTACTACCATATTGTCTAAGAATGCCAGTTCGTGCAAATTGATTGTTATCATTAGTTGAATTTACTTTACGTTGTTTTGATAATTGTGATTGTTGATTAGTTTCTTTTTGAATGGAATGATTTCCTGTTGTTCCATTATTAAGACCAAGAGTAAATATATCTGTAGTTGATGTGGCAGCATTTGATTGTGTCATAGCTTCAACTTGACGTATAATTTCTCTAACTGACGGTAGAATGTGAGCTTCATTATCCTCCTTTATTTTTATAATGAGTTAATGAAATGAAAGAAAGTTGTAAATATACTGTCGATATATATTCAATGTAAATAGCTGTCATGCTGGTTCTGTTTGTTTTTTTAAAATCGGATATTTGACAAAAAGCTAACTAACCTAGTTAAGTTTCATTTCTAATTTAGGTATCTAAAATTATTGAGGTAAAGGTGTAAATGAAGTAACTTTATCACAGAAAATATCAGTCTGATGACATTTCTATTATAAACTACAACTTATGGACGACCTCTGAGCGACGTTAACGTGACCCTGAGGACGTCCACCTATCAACTAGGACTAAATGAGGGTTATAGACCAGTTTGATGTATTAGAATTATGATTCACAGTTGACAGTTAGAATTAGGAATTAGACTTGAAGTTTTCATCACGAACTGACATCAGCTAAAATGTCAAAACACTATTTAGCCAAATGGATGAATGAATTTATAAGGCTGAACAATGATAAAGAATATCACTATAAATAGGTATTGACTGAGGCTATAGGCCTTTAATACAAAAATTTGACTTGAAGAAATCTAACAATGAAAGTTCCTAATAATGATCAGAAAGAACTAGAAGTATAGCAAGTAACTTTCCACTTGTTGTGGTTTATTTGATGATATTAAAAACAGATATTATTTGTTGAAAGCATGAGTCAATTGAAGCTAGATCACCATGGAAAACCTGAAAGCACTGGACGACCGTTTCGCCCTATTGTGGGACTCCTCAGCAGTGTGCATCCACGATCTCGCCTCGCGAGATTCAAACCCAGGACCTATCAGTCTCGCGCCAGAGCACTTAACCAACCACAAAACCCCTTCAGATATTATTTGGTTAAATGTGTGTGAAAAAAGTGTAAGATACTTCTCTACTTGAAAAATGATCACATAACTGAAATAAATGAAACGATAGTTACATGCGAAATAGCCACGTAACAAATTTGATGAACATACTGAAGATTTGTCATTCTACCGAAGGTAAACGAAAGGACAGTACATATATACATATATATAGGATTTTTATTTGTGGGATTATTGATAGGTTATTTATAAGCAACTAAATAATTAAATTCATTTAGTATTGTTTCTTTGAATCTTCCCATCGATGTGTTAGCACTGCAACTGGTCAGTCTCTAATTGGCATATGTGCATGCTGTGAAAATTGCCTCGATTTAGCTTTCATTCACAAGCATGGTAAGCAAAGATGGATAGTGGTTAGCAGTGGAATCCAGAACGCGCGTTTCATCCTATTTGGGACTCGTCAGCTGGATGTGCCTGCATCTCAGAGTTGATATTCACTCTGGGACACGATCTAAGTACATTCGCTTCAAACGTCATCGCGTTATCCACTCGGCCACTGAGTCCTGATAGCCACTTGCTTGTGTGATGTGGTGAAGTTCAGTAAATGCTGGAAAACATGACAACCCTATAGTTCAGTCTGGTTGTATCAATTACCAAATGCGGTTACATAAAATATAATTACTGAATCTAATTTGTATTACGTAAATGACTGTTCAGTATCATTCTGGTTATCAAGAATTTTAGAAAATAAGTTGTAAAACTACAGTAACCTTAAAAAATAAAACGTTTTCTGAATATTAGAAGATTACCTCAGGTGCATCAGAAGAAAATGAATTCACATTGTTATGTTCAACTCTAGAAGGTGAAGAACCACGTCGTTGTATATTTGTAACATTTAAATTAATTTTTTGTGATGTTGCTGTATATGAATTTTTCTCTCCTCCAGCACCTGGAATTAAATTATTTTCAGAAGCTCGAAAACATGTTACAGGACTGATGGTCGGACTTGGACCTGGACTAGGCTGTGCACTTCTACTTCGAGCAGGGATTGTCACTGGACCAGGGCGACTACCTGATGTATATATCTATAAAAGTGAAAATTGTTCACAGATTATTTTATTGATAAGAAAGAGATGTAAAATAAGAGATATGTTCATATATAGACCTTTAAAGTTCTAACATTTCATTTATAATAACCAACGATAACCAATCTTATCTTTTTGCAATACTTTGTTAAGATTTTGTCTAATTAAAAACTGGAGCATATATTATACTCTATGAAGTTCTCTAAAGTATAGTCAATATATGTACTGTGGACATGTACCGTAGTAACTATGGTTCATAAATCAATAAAATCAATCATACTGATGTGTTATTTCTTCTTATTCCATGTGAATACTATCGATTTTATGGAGTAGACAAAAGTGAATGTAGTGTTGAATTTCTTAAAACTATTTTTTTTTTCAACTTGGGATCTGATAAGGCGCAGAAAAAGACTAAACTTGGTTGAAATAGTGAACTGAAGCGGAATACAAGAAAGCTCTGATAGGGATAGAAATAGTTTAGAAAAAACAAATGAAGATTTCTTTTAAATTTTATTACTTTCAATAAAATATTTTTGGTAACAGGGATCATAAAATTATGGCATACGGTCATATGGATAATGATATGGTCATATAGATATGAACCTTGGAAGGCATCACCAATTACCTAGTGATGTAAGTTATTATTTAATTGAGTGAATTTTAAAGGATAATTGATTTTGGAAACCCTTTTTGTCGTCAACTTAACATGTTGATGAACTACTAGAAGTTTCTGAAACATGAAAATGAAACATAAAATAAGCTTAATATTATTTCTATACCTATTAACAACTCTTAGATGGTGTTTCTGTAGTTGGAAAGAAAAATTGTCATTAATGGTGTTTAAATATATCTCGGCCTGTAGCTCCTCCGGGGGCTACTGCAGGTCCCAAGCCCAGATAGAGGAGGACGGTTAGACATGGGGTTAGCGACCCTATCCCGTAGAAAACCGACTCGCTAACAAATGCTAACCAGAAAAAATTATTCAAATCACTAAAACTCTGCCCTGAGAGTTGAAGGAATAATTGTGACACCTCATGATGAAAGCCAAGTTCCTTTGGAAGTCATGAGGCCAAATGAACCTTCTAAGAACCAATGCAACAATTTTTATAGGTACATGGAACGTCCGGACAATGTGGAAAACCGGAAGAGTCTTCCAAACGTTTACAGAAGTATTAGTTATCAGTCATCTCAACATTTAATCATCGTTAGTAAATTGACTAAAGTGAAAAGCATGGACCATTGAATATCAACTGAATGACAAAATATGTTATTATTGCATTTGAGATCTGAAATTCATGAATTGACATTTTAAAGTCAGAAACTCAAATCAATTGTCTCCAAACCAACATCAAATTCAGAATCATCAACACGAACGTCAAAACAGTTAGTGACATTGTGCGGAGATGAAACTACTACAATCATCATCGAAAATGTACAAGTATTTGTAAACAAATTGTCTACACAAGATACTGAATATATGTTGACCGGATACCATCATAAACAACCTAATGTGAGAGAGAAGAAACCAGCTTTCATCTGAAGAGGAAACTAGGAGAAGATTCTGGAAGTGACATACATTGAGGAAATCATCAAACTGCATCATAAAGCAAGCACTAACTTAGAATCGGGTATGAAAATGGAAATGTAGAAAACCAAGGAACACACTGCATCGGAAACTGGAAGCGGACATGGAAAGGATGAATAGCACCTGGAAACAACTGTAAGGGTGGAGAACATAATGGGATGAAGAATTCTAGTGAGTGGCCTATGCTACTTCACAAGGGATAACAGACGTAAATCAGTGAGTAGGAATCTAGGTTTCATCTTTTGATATTTAGTAACTCAATGAGGTACATCGTTCAGGGTTGACGATCGTACTCATTGACAATTTGTGTATTATTACCATAGATCCGTTTTGATTACTGTATACAAATTCCTTCGATCTTTTTAAATCTAAATTATATCACAATTCGACGCGGTCTCCTTGAATATCTGAGCTATCCGTTCCTGTCATCTAGATATTTCAACAAGTTATCTGTTTCCTTATTTGTTTTAACAGAACATTATGTCAATTAATTGCATAACCTATTCAGGAGCGTTTGTGAAAAGTGTACAACGAAAAGTTGTATAAGTTACAAAAGTCCAAATCAGAGATATCATGTTTGCTGGCAGACAATATGCAGCGAAAATAATGTACATTATTTAGATGTCGATTGACTAGACTGCTTACATCTAATTGACGATCACCCAACATTTATCATCAGGATCGACGAAGAAGTAAGAAACGGAAACTTGTTGAAATACTTTGTGCTAAGAATTCCATATTGTACCACAAATATAACATTGAATAAAGCTAATAAATGAATAACATCATCTACTACACTGCTCCTTTCAATATTTTTTCTGGTTTATTCACCTTCATTACATTGTAAACAATGAAATCCAATCAATTTCTAGCCCTTTCTATCATTATTAAAATTTATTGTTTAGGTTATATTCAACTTCCATTAACTGAACAACTTATACTGACCACATAAGAGATATAGTTCAACTGAATCTTTCAATGTCTTGATTAACATTTTTCGCCCTTCAAGGCAAATGTAACATGTGCTTACTTCCTAAAATTCTATATACTTCTAACCATATGTTGTTCACTAACTGATAACAGACATCGTTAATAGTCTATAATCTTAAGAAAAACACATCTTGTTCGTAATAGGTAGTAAATGTCCTGTATTGTATTTTACGTTTCTATATATGATGGATTCATAATAATAACACATTTTACAGAAGCTTCCAGGTTTTCCATGGTGGTCTAGATTCAATTGACTCATGATCTCAACTATTAAAATTACTACAATATCTACAAAAACCCTTCTGATATTAATCAACATATGTTTACTAGTGACTGACTTCAAGAGGTATTTCCTGAAGTTCTGATGAGAAGCAGCGACCAATGTATTTCAACCAGGTCTGTTGTGAGATAATAACTCAATGAAGACAATGGTGTATGTGTCGCTCAATTTCATGGATTAGTTGAAGTTAGACATTAACACCACTGGATGCCAGCTGGCTCAGTGTTCTAGAGGTTAAGCGTTCTCTCGCGAAACTGATAGATCCTGGGTTCGAATCTCGCGAGGCGGGATCGTGGATGCGCACTACTGAGGAGTTCAAAATAAGACTAAACTGCCGTCCAGTGCTTCCAGGTTTTCCTTGATGATCTAGCTTCAATTGGCTCATGATTTAGACTATTAAAATCATTATTTATTTATCTCTGTTTAATATTACCCATTGAGGATTATAGTTTTTTAACAATTTTGAAGTTAAATTCAACTTAGTACTGTTTGTTTGAATCTTCCCATCGATTTGTTAGGACTGCAACTGGTCAGTCTCTAATTGGCATATGTGCATACTGTGCGTATTGCCTCGATATACCTTAATTTTGAAGTTATTTTCCATGGTAACATTTTTATAAACACTGTAACTCTAACTGAAATGGAACAATTTTTCAGCTAACTGTCAACTAAGATCGTCGGATAAATACACACACACACACACACATACACACATAAAAGCATTTATTGATTGTGTACTATTCATTTACATCTTACATCTGTTATATGTCGAAATGTTTACCAGAACAGTAATATTATTATGTAAGCTTATTAGATGAATCATTTTCATGTAGATTATTCATGAATTAGCACGAATAGTTTCATAGTATTTGCACGCCGAATCGATGTAAGGACACTAAAATAGGAATAATCTATTTCTAAAATCTCAGCGAATGAATTTTCTAAGGAAATCCAACGTTTCGACTTGGTAATCTGGTTCAAGCTTTTTCAAGGAACTAACTAACTAACTAACACCTTTCAGCTTCATTGTCTGGTTATTTTACTTATAATATACACTGTATCTAGAGGGGACTTTGACAAAACAATGTATGTATATATATATATAATGAATCATAGTCAGGGAAACAGAAAATATACATGTCTGATTAGTAATCACATCAACATTAGTTATTTATTATTGTTTATATTAATATAAAGCATAGAGATTTGAAATAATATTGACGTCGCATTTTAATGGGACTATGGTGATAGCAAATGGGATGATAAGAATCAATGTTTCTATGTGACTGTTTCTATGTAAATCATTATTATTATTATAGGGATACGTGTGATTTTCTTTCATATACAGTCATATATGACAATTATCATTATAACTATATATTGTTTCATTTGTTGTAGTGTATTTAACATTGGTACTGTAGAACTATTGAATCATCTTCAACTATGACCATTGATGATGATGTCACAATTCTAAAGGTCAGTAAAAACATTTTATTCATAGACGATGACTGAACTAGGTAACCGTTAGTAATAGCTACTACTGTCTGAACTGAGAGAGAGGTAAACAAAAAATCAGATTTCATTCAAATATACTGAAATCATTGATTTTTTCCAAGTGACAATCAGACAAAACAACTAATTACATTCACATATGGCAGTCAGTTATATTACTATCAATGAAAAATTGAGATGACTTTTATCAGATGGCTAATTGGTCACACTTTTTAATAAGTGTAGCATTATAAGATTAATAAATGACAACTAAATAGATTTTAAAAGTTTACATAATTTTATATAGTTGAGATCATAAGTCAATTGAAGCTAGACCACCATGGAAAACATGGAAACACTGGATGGCCGTTTCGTCATCTGCTCACTTGTGACTGGCTCCATGAGGTATTTCCTCGAGTTCTAGTGGGAGGCAGTAACCAGTGGTGTTCAACCAGGTCTGTTGGGAGATATCAACTCACTGAAGACATTGGTGCTCCATTGGTTGCTCAATTTCGTGGATCGGTTGAAGTTAGAAATTAAACCGTTGGATACCAGCCGGCTCAGTGGTCTAGTGGTTAAGTGCTCTGGGGCGAGGCTGATATGTCCCGGATTCGAACCTCGCGAGGTGGGGTTGTGCGCTGTTGAGGAGTCCCACAATAGGACGAAACGGTCGTCCAGTGCTTCCAGGTTTTCCATGGTGGTCTAGCTTCAATTGACTCATGATTTCAACAGTGAAAATAAACATAATTGTTACAATACTCAGTTGTGTAGTACTACTTCGTAAAATGTACAGGAGTAACCTCATGAATTCTTAATGTCTTAAATAATAATGAATTTAAGGTGAATAAGTTAATATGAGCAACTCATTGTTTCTATTAACAAAATTTATATAGCGAATGTAGTGACTAACGGAACTAATTAAGTCAAATACGAGAATGAAGTTTTGTACAATAGTTGATCAGAACAGACAACCCGAGAATCGCAGCCAATAAAGCGAAACTAGATGACACTCAATGGAGTAGGCATGTGACCCAACTCCCTTTAATTATACGTTACTCAATATTTATAGTCAAATCGAATTGAAGCAAAGAGAGGCAAGAAAAACGTTAAACTAGTGGAAGCGAATACTTAAAAAGGTCAAAGATGTAGTTTATGAAGAATGAATAGAATACTTTATCCAGAAACTAGAATAACCTATGTGGGTTCGACATAGGCCCAGCCACTACAATGAGTAAAATGTTTTAAAAGTTGCTTTATCACCACAGTACATGATATCATATTGTCATGTTATTGTCATTCTAACTATGCATTCAAACAGTTGGGGGTATAAATGTACTTAGAAGTCAATAAGTAATAATGTAAACTATATCGAAATATCGTAACATTCTTCTCACTTTTGTCATATTATCTATCTAAGAGGTTATTTAATTGAATTTCAATAACAACTAATTATATTTAAACTGAAAATAACATAAAACAGGAACCAATACATTTAATCTACTAATAACTAATTCAAGGAGTGACATTTACAGAAAGATTTCTAGCTACATCATTAGTTGTCATATAAATGGATCGATTACTTATGGATCACAACAATGATGTAAAAACTGATAAACCTAATTGTGAAAAAAAAACCCAACTCGAGCCAATAGAGAGTAAACACAGTGGGGAAAAAACAGCTGTGACATTAGACCAGGATAGGTAAAAATATCAGTTGATATGTTGGTAAAAAAATCGCTGAACCAATTTTTAGAAATTATTGATTTAATTTCTAATGTTTAGTACAACGGTTTTAGATAGATGTTTAAAGAACTATTTGAGAAAACAAGGATTTTGATGTATGGAATATAAGTAGTCAAAGGGATTTCTGACGTTTACTATTCAAACGAGATATAGATATTTCAGAGTTGAAATTTTCGTTTCGGTGGTATCATTTACTAGAACTGGATGATGGTATTTATGATTATTTTTTATATATAGTGGTCTATAAATAAAAAAAGGGAATTATTACGTCATTTACAGGGGGTAATCACAGTAAAGAATTATGGATACTTTTAAGGTAATGGCTCATCTGATTTTTATGGAAGATTGAAATTTAAAAATATGTTTGATTTAGATTAATCCAACTGATCTAAGTTTGGTGATATTTGGTACTTTGTAATAAGATCCATAGAATTTTATTGTTTTTTGATCAATATATAACATCAGTCAATGTAAATTACGAAGTCTATTCAATTACATAAGCTACTACTACCAAATTCCATGGTACGGCTAAGAGTGAGAAAAGTCCGCTCTCCCTCTCCAAATGCTCTCTCATGGCCACGTGTATATAGTCTCTGACAGGGAAGTCCTACTCATTGCCTGCTCGTGGCGAGGACGTTGTTTACGAAATTGAGAGGACGAAAAGTGAATGTCCGGCGCTTTAACCGTATTGGTGGACACGTGAAGTCCACCTAGAGAAGTTGGAAAACCCTGATTTTAAACCAATGGTGCACATGGTTAAATAATTAACTAATAAATTATTATGCTATATGAATGTTCTAATCAACTTCAACTTTTAAAATAAAATGAATAAAATTGTTACTTCTTACTTGAGCTCCTTCTCTTGTTGTCGAATTGAGTGTAGTATCTGATGGAAAACGTTTTTGTGTTGCATTTCCATTATGAAGAGTTTGAATTTTACGAAAGCTTGGACCTAATGAAATTGTATAATAAAAAGAAAAGAATAACTCTGTATTTCTGACTTGTAAAGAATATTCTTTAGCTATAACAATTTATAAAATACACGTAAATGAATCGAATTTGAGAGTAGAAAATTCAATTTGTTTTCTTCTTTATACAACAGTTGCATAAAAATGATTGGATATTTTAAAGCAATGGTTAATTATAATTTATCAGAAGGGGGTTTTATGGAGACTTTAGTAATTTTATATAGTTGAAATGATGAGTTAATTGAAGCTAGACCACCATGGAAAACCTGGAAGCACTGGACGACCATTTCGTCCTATTGTGGGACTCTTCAGCATCCACGATATTACCTCTCGAGATTTCAACCCAAGACCTATCAGTCTCGCGCGCGAGCGTTTAACCACTAGTCAACTGAGCCGGCTGGTATCCAACGGTGTTAATGTCTAACTTCAACCAATCTACGAAATCGAGCAACCATTCACCAATGTCTTCAATGAGTTGATATCTGCCAACAGACCTAATTGAACTCCACTGGTTATTGCTTCTCACTAGAACTCCATGAAATACCTCATGTAGACAGTCACTAGTGTGCATATGATCATTATCAGAGGGGGTTTTGTGGAGATTTTAGCAATTGTATAGTTGAAATCATGATTCAATTGAAGATAGACCACCATCGAAAACCTGGAAGCACTGAACGGCGCTTGCTCGCAAGACTGATAGATCCCGGGTTAGTATCTCGAGAAGCGGGATCGTGGATGAACACTGCTGAGGATTTCCATAATAGGACGAGACGGTCGTCCAGTGCTTCCAGGTTTTCCATGTTGGTCTAGCTTCAATTGACTCATGATTTCAATTATAATTTAGTTTAGTTAAATGGCAGGAAACTTAAGTCCAAACTATCCTAGAGATAGTCATTAACCGACAGACATAATAAATTATACGTTTCTTCTGTTATTAAACCAATCAACATTAATTGTCAGTTTATTTCTACATCAAGAAAGTATTGGTCACTTTATTATTTATAAAACTTTGATTCATAATCCTAAGGTTTATTGTTTGCAGTTTGAATGACTCCAAATATTAGATGTAATCATGAATAAAATTATGAATCTTAAATGTTTAATCTGGGATTTGAATTCAGTACCATCAACTTCAATCGCCATCGTTTAATCCACTTAGTATCTAGGTCCAGATAACCGCTAGCTTGCGCAATGGGGTGAAGTGTAAATTCATTTTTTATTGTTTGTTTGTGTCTTCCAATCGGTGTTTAGATCTGTAAATGATCTGTCTGTTATTGACATATGTTCATCCTTTGAGGAGTGCTAGCCACCATTTATTTTTGCTTATATTGCATGTGACGTAAGGTAATGTCGAGGTAATCCGCATAGGGTGCACATATAACAATAAGCGACTGATTAATTACAGTTATAAACATCAATGTGAAGATACAAGTAAACAATTCAAACTGAATTTAAATTGTTTTTATTTAATAATTTTTTATTGCTACTTTAATAAATTTTGGGTCCCCAAATGCCCTGGTACGGTCGGGAGTGGGGAGACTCCACTCTCCCTCTCGAAATGCTCTCACATATCAACGCGTATATAGCCTCTGACAGGGAAGTCCTACTCACTGCATTCTCTCTGCAGGGGTGTTGTTTATGAAATCGAGAGAAAGAAGAACGAATGTCCGATGATAAAACCGGGTTTGTGGGCACGGAAAGTTCACCTAGAAAAGTTGGAAAATCCTGGTTCCGAACCAATGGTGCACATAGTCTCCAGTATCCTGAGGGAACAAATGGTGTGTGAATCAATCGTTGGTCATCGACTACCATGAGACTTCATCTCCTCACGATGCTCCACTGCATTGTGGACCATATCTTTAGGTCAAAGGCTCCGGGTGTGGCCCCCTAAGGAAACCACCTGCTTCAGTTTGGGCACCTCGTCAGTATCACAGCCTTCACACAAATCAAATGAGATTTATGTGGCGCATATCTATTTGGTTCCCCTTTGCACTAATATTTATGTGTTTAAATGAAATAACATTTAACATTTCTAGCATATTGCACACAGACGCCATCTGAATGAAATTTATCCTACACCTAATGTATATATGGAATGAAATGAAACTATTGCCAAATCTTCATAAATTATAAATTCATCTATCAAAATTATTTCCACATGTATAATATTCTAATGGTAGAAAACATTGAAACTTAACTAATGAGATCATCTTGTCAAAGAATTTCTTTTGGCGCCTTATTAAAATTTCTCGCTTTGTTTTAACGTAATATTAGTTTAGACAACAGTTAAAATGTAATACTATAAATGATACTATTTTTAGAACCATTCTTGTTAGTAGTCTGTTGAAAATGCTAAAATTAATTGTAGGTAAATTGATTAGTTCAATCACTCATAAATATTTATTGTATGGATTATGACAAGGTTGAAATTATGGTTCATTTCACATCATAACAATAACAACTTTTTACACTAAATTCAATTGGAAATGATGTGAATTATTAAGTTGTTGATTTTTTTTTCTATTAAAAGTGAATCAGTCTTGGTTACTAAATGGGTATCTTATTCTGATACCCTCGATATTAGCCATTATAACACAAGCTGATATATGTGGATAAATTGAATTTGGTTACTAGTGATAATGAGTTTGAGTCCTGGGGTGAATATCAACTCTAAGATCAAGGTACTTCTAGCTGATGAGCCCCAAATAGGACGAAACTTACGTACTCGATTCCACTGTTAGTCACATTTTATCTATTCCATGCCATAGGTATCATTACCAAGACTTGATTTGATAATTTTGAATAAATTGAGCATTGGGTAGATTGTTATAAATAAATTATATATTTGTAATGTCCCAATGAGTAGAAAAATTAGATTTTCTGACGTTTCGTGACTCAGTGTAAGCCACTTCTTCAGAGAATAAATAACCAAATTAAACCAAAATTACACTGAGTCACGAAACGTCAGAAAATCTAATTTTTCTACTCATTGGGATATTACAAATATATAATTTATTTATTCCATGCCATGTTCTTATGCTAAACCATTCTTCCAGACTTGTAAACATACTCTTTTCGGAAGGAACAATACATCATGCCAAGTAGTTTGACAATAATACCAAAACGATGTAAATTCGATATAAAAATAGATCATTCATTTTTATAGTTTGGAAACGTGTGCAGATACTGAATATCAAAACGTTGTTTCTAGTAGCTGACTATAGAGTTGGAGAGAGATTATCAACAAATCTAGAAAGTATTTTGTAGTAAAATATATTGATATATATTTACCATTTAAACATTATAATTATTATCCAGCTGTACCGTCGTATATATATATATATATATATATATATATATATATATGTAGGCTATCAGACGAGGGAGTTTATCACTTACAGATACAGAAGACACACACCTGGAAGCACTGGACGGCCGTTTCATGCTATTGTGGGACTCCTCAGCAGTGCGCATCCACGATCCCGCCTCGCCCGATTCGAACCGAGGCTCGAGACAGCTAGGTCCTGAATTGGAATCTCGCAAGGCGGGATCGTGGATGCGCACTGCTGAGGAGCCCTACAATAGAACGAAACGGCCGATCAGTGCTTCCAGGTTTTCCATGGTTGTCTAGCTTCAATTAACTAATGATCTCAACTATATAAAAATTACCATATTCTTGTAAAATATTATTTTCAAAAAAATAAAAAAAATCAACAAGGTTGTTCAATTTACAGCAACATTTTCATGGATTTACTTATACTACACATTTACATATTAGTTTCCGAATACCTTTCATTATTCTCTATTATTTACATTTATAATAATTAGGTTGAACATATTCCGGTTCATTATTACATAACCAAAATTAAAATTTATTGATATATATTTAGTTTAAGCGATTTCAGTAATAAATAATTATCTAGTTGTAGGTACCATTAATATTTACTTATGAAAATGAATTATTTCAACCACTGAAATTAAAACGATATGGAACATAAAAGCTAAAGACGATCCTCGCAGTAACCCATTTGTCAGATGGCTGAAGATAGTTGACAGGAAAGCCTGGACGTAGATTAATTGCATTTGTCACTCATCAACATGTTGGGCCCAAAACCTCAAGAGAACTTGTGCTCAACGAAGAATTCTACCTTTTGTCATCCTGCTTCTCAATCTACGATGTGACCAATGAGTTATTCAGGTCACGAGTGATTGATCACTGGTTAGTTCTGAAAGAATACTATTGATCACGTTACAGTGTGGCTACTAGTCTAATCCACCTCAGAAGTACTATTTCCCTTAATTTCACAGTTAAAAATTGATGACGATTGATAAATATATTATGAAACCCAAGCTAAGCAGGATACCCTGTCGACTATCTTCAACTGCCGGATGTTTAATTATAATAAGTGTAATGTCCGGTCACTAAGACTAGTAGTCGTACTGCGGCTTTATCAATAGGATATGATCAGTAGTAAATGACTAGGAAAACACGAAATAAGTCACTAGTCAGTGATAAATCATTTATAAGTATTTCTTTTTTCAACTTTTTAAATGTCTATTGAATATAAAATAATGGGACGTAACGGCCGTTCAGTGCTTCTACGTTTTCCATGGTGGTTTAGCTTCAATTGACTCATGATCTCACCTTTTAAAATTATAATGAGTACTTGGTATATTCTAACGTAAAAAGATAGTTAAGGAAGGTGTATACAAGTGATTAAGATAGTATTTTTTATTTCCTAGGTAAGAATGTGTTATATCCTGACGAAGACATAAGTACGGGTAACTCCCATGACCTATTATTGGACTATTATTCTATAAATATTCTTATTGTATACCTATTCAGTAACTAGATTACGTATATCTATATTCATCTTATCATAAGCTTCATCTTGATCTACGAATTATTATTATACGATTTACTGTTCCTAAATTATACTCAGTTTATTGATTACTGTCTCCCACGTTCACGGCCACATTTGGCTTGATTTTGTACAAATATTATTTTCTATTTTATGGTGTGATGTGATCTGTCTGTCTAGTATATAAACAAAGTATGCTTTAAATAAACGATTCGCATAACAGAAGTTGTCATTGGTGTTCTGTACTTAAGTGGAAGGGTTAGGCGGATAAACGACCAATAAGGACGTTAGATTACTCATACCAGTTGAACGTCATTGATTGTCACAGTGTTAAGGTCGGAAAAGTCGTATTTCCATTGCTGGATAATTCACGTGATAGAAGCCGGACATAAAATCGATAACGAATTGTCATATATTCTTTGTATATCATGTAAAGTCACAACAATTGGCGACGGCCTTGGTCAAGTCATAACAGAAGGTAATTTCCAATCACTGGTTTCTTGAACATTTATTTATTTTTTCAGTACATGCAACTTTATTGTTCAGTATGTTCACCGAGTAAGTGGATTTTTACAAGAATACTTCTTACAAAGTTTAGCAGAAGTTAGTTGACCAGTTACACAGAAGTATGAATACTCCATTATTGAATGTGAACTAAGGATCGGTGAGAATATAATTTATGGATAAAGCAATCAGATTTAAGATAACAGGTCTTGGATTTTCGATCACAGTTCATTCATCCATTTTGCTAAATAATATTTTGGCATTATCGCTTAAGTCAGTTCTTGATAAAAATCCTAAATCTCACTCCTTACCCTAAGGTATAGCTGTAAATCCTATTCCTGATCCCTCATACTTATTTATAACTCAGTAGGTAAGTGGAAATTCTCAAGGCCAATGTAGCGTCGCTCAAAGTTCATCCATAAATCATGGTCTCACCCTAAGGATCTGATGGTATTTCCCTTTAAAAATAGAAATACATGTTAAGAATAATGAAGTTATTAACTTCATAATTCATAAACCAATCGTATCAGTAATAAATCCTTATACTGTACATACATTCATATAATTAACGAACATAGACTTATCTGTTAGTATCTAAGTATCACTTAGCTAGTGGTGTGGTGTTGTCTACTTATATCTATATAAGTAGTATATGGTGTGGGTCAGACATAGAATGTATTTTGGCAGAAGACCGATGAGGAAAGAACTGAAATGAAGCGCAATCGTTTGGAAAATGCATGAGCAATGGAATAAGAGAAGAAACAGTGAAGATTGAAACAATTGGTTGTTAATTTGCAAATTGACTGTTCATTGTTTGGTAATCAGAATTTACTGAGATAGTCTGTAATCTTTGCTTAAATACATTCGATTGTCCCCAACCGGTGTTTTGTTCACTACAGTGGCAGTAGGTTTATTCTGTAATACAATCAAGAGTGACACGTTTAAAATTTTCTGATGTGGTATGTACATTATTAAAGAGCGATTCATTCTATAATTTACACTAGTCAGTAATTCATTACTACTGGTTTCAATATTGTTCATGATAGTGCATATCAAAGTATATAAAACAAGTTTTGTTAGGCCATAAACATGGCGCATGCTATTTATGTTGACAGATATAAGTAGTTTATAGCACCTGAGACTTTAATTTATAGTTTAGTAACATCTCTCGGCTTTTAAGACATATTTCAGCTTATGTCAGCTTATAATAAAAATTACATCCAAAATTCACAATTGATCTTAACCGAATCATCTCCATCGAACACAGACAAAAATGTAGAACGAAACTTTAGACTGTATAGTTAAGTGTACTTTATGAAAACCATTGAAACTATATGATATATACTTGATTCTAAATTGAACACCCAGTAAATTCAAAAGTAATAATTAATTAAAATCGTAGGAATATATAAATTATGTCCTACTTCTGCTAACATCAATATACAGTAATAAACATTGCATCTCAAATAGATTGCAAACGAGATCCAGTATCTGAAATTTACTTAATACTTTGATGGAGTTTTGTTCTCTGAGCTGGATGGTTTAGTCGTGGAGCTTTCATCATCCTTCTGAACGACATCATCAGCACAAACTTCGGGATGATGAAAGCTCCACGACTAAACCATCCAGCACAGAGAACAAAACTGTATCAAAATCATCCACCTGAGCTACAAATCTTCTCAACTTAACAATTAATGATAGAAAGGGATAACCCTAAGCAATGATTCAGTAAAATATGTTCACCAATGAAGAAACCAACCTCGATATGTTGTTTTTGTGTTTTACTAAGTATTATGCTAAACGCATTAACCGATGGACGGAAAATACAGTTAAATACTAACATAAAATTGATTGTGATCTCTATTCCATATAGGGCTAATTTTGACTTCATTCATGTACTATATTACAGATTAAATGATTACTTAATATATCCAGTTTCACAAATCTATGCAGCTTTTCATAATTTAAATAGTACTTCGTAACTAGTACTAATAAAAAGCCATGGTCGAAATGGTTAATCATGTTTAAAATGAAGCAGTTATCCTTTGATAGATTTAAATGGCTGGGAGTATACTGAGAAATAAAATGTAAATTACAGGATTTTGACAGAATAGCTATGAACCCTTAAAGCCTCAAACTTGAACACTTATGACGTTATGGTTGAGTATCATTGAAGAATTACTGATTGTAGAATAGTTGGTTTTTAAGTGATCCAGATGATATTACTTCAATATTAAATCTATTTTTGAATATAATTAATCATTGGTCCAATTTCCAAATTTAAAGGTTATAATAAGGCATGACTAAATATTAGAAACTATGAATTTCATATTTAAATCCATTTGTTTTGTTACGTGTAAAGGATAAACCATACAGAGTTTAATTATAATTTGTAACGTCTTAGAATTTAAATATTATTGAATTACTCTTAAGGTAAAACGTTAGTTTGAGTTATATTCCTGTAGATTAGAATAAATTTTTCTGGTTAGCGTTTTTTTTTAGCGAGTTGGTTTTCATTGATGAACTCGGTGGATCTGATGCAGATATGAAGGCGCGGATCGGCAAAGCAAGAGCAGCATATTTACAACTGAAGAACATTTGGAATTCAAAACAATTGTCAACCAACACCAAGATCAATATTTTCAATACAAATGTCAGGACAGTCCTACTGTATGGGGCGGAAACCTGGAGAACTAAGAAAGCCATCATCTAGAAATTACAGGTGTTTATTAATAGTTGTCTGCGTAATATACTTCGGATCCGTTGGCCGGACACTATCTGCAACAACCTACTGTGGAACAAAACAAACCAGATTTCAATGGAGGATCAAATCAGGAAGAAGCGCCGGAAGTGGATCGGACACACTTTGAAGAAATCACCCAACTGCGTCACAAGACAAGCCCTCACATGGAATCCTAAAGGCCAAAGAAGAAGAGGAAGACCAAAGAACATATTACACCGATAAATGGAGACAGATATGTGAAGAATGAACAAAAACTAGATAGAACTACAAAGGAACGCCCAAGACAGAGTGAGTGGGTTGGAGAATGCTGTTCGGCGGCCTATGCTCCATTGGGAGTAACAGGCGTAAGTAAGTAACTAAGTAAGTAAGATTAGAATAAATTAATCGACAATTTTAATTATGAACATAATATATGTAATGAGTAAAATATAATGTTACCTGATACATAATTATTCATATAATCTTCATTTGTAACATTACGTTGATTTGTATTATTACCAGTGTACAACATGGCAGAACTCACTGAATTATATTTAGCAACGTATGGATTAGATGCAATATTATTCGTTGTATGATTACGATTTCTATAATCAAATTCTGGTATAATAGTTATTTGTTGACTTTCAGAACGTTTATATGGTGTTATTATAGAATCAAGTTTAGTATCTTCACTATTTGTTGGTAAATTTAATTCAGATTGATATAACCAAATTGTACGGTTAGTATTTTCTGTATCAAGTGTATGCGTATTGGTTGGTGAAAATGTAGTTATATTAGAATCTTCAACAGTTGATGTTGGACTTGGTTGTCCACAAGATAAACTTCCACCAATTGACCGACTATGTTCACGATATCCACTAGTTGGTTTTAATAAATTTGTATCACGTAATAATAATGTAGATGAAATTGAATGAGATTTTGAATGTTTTATATCAGGAGATTTAATTAAATTTGTATGAATACCATTTAATTGATCATTAGTTGGTGATAATAATTGATGAATACCATTAATAGAATTCTTTGATGAATTAGTTGTATCATTATAGCTCTAGATGAAATAATAGAAAGTTGACAAATCTTAATTAGTATAAGGTTAACGTTATATTTTATTCATAAATTAAAATGTTTCCAGGTGGAAAAGAAAAAAAGAGAAAGAAGAAACTTTATGATCAGTGTTCATAAGTTGACAACACGTGTTTTTCACTTGACAACTAATATTAATCAATATTATAACTCTGTTGCTATGAATGAAATCAATAATGTGTTGAATAAATTTCAAATTTTTTGGCAACTTATTTTAATTGTATAATTTTTTTTAAAAATTCCAGCACATGTCAGCATATTATTTTTTATTATTATTATTATTTCACAAGATTGTTTTGATGACTTCTTCAAATAATGTTATTCTTACTAAAATCCAATTGGATTGTGTAAAAATGAAGAAAAGAGTGAAAGAGTGGGCAAGTATCTATGATGTATATTAAATGACCATTAGGTGTGTGTTTGTGTGCGTGTGTGCATTTCTATCATTATTAGATTGTTATGTTATAGGTATTTTAGCATTAAATTTAGTTAGGAGTTTTCGGATTGTTTATTTTCTTTTGCACAATTACAAGCACACAGTAACGTGGTTCACATTATTTTGTGTTATGTGCAGGTGTATACAACGATTCTAATGGGATAGGGATATTTATTTGCTGTGACTATTACTTGGTACTTCTCTTTACTACTTCTATGTCATGTGCACATATATATGTATACACATATTTATGTGGGAATGAAACACAACCCTTAAAATGGGGATATATATTTAATGCAATCAGAAATATCGATTGGGAACGGATGAATTGAAGAAAGATTATTATTATTATTATTATTATTATTATTATTATTATTATTAGTAGTAGTAGTAGTAGCAGTAGTAGTAGTAGTAGTAGAAGTAACAGTATTATGGCGTTATCCATTGATAGGGAGATGTTGGTAGGTGGAAAAAGAACAAATTTAGGTAGCAGTTTTAACAGCATAAACTATATTATACTAATTACAGCTATCATTATTATTATTGTCATTAATAATATTAATATTATTAGGATTAATATTATTAGGTTACATGATATTTGATAGCCTTTTATTTTTGACTTAAACGATTGGAAATTTATAGCTTAGAAACAAATCAAAACAAGGAAATAAACGCTTAAGCACTACTTACACTTATGAGAAAAAGAGCATTGGTTAGTATTTTATTTTATTAGTTGAATTCATGAGTTGATATAAGTTAGACCATCATTAAAAACCTAGGAATACTGAACGGCCACTTTGTCTTACCATGGAACGCAGGAGTGACCACCGGCGATCCCGAATGCAGAACTTGAACCTAAGAACTTCAGTCTCGCATGAGAACACTTAATTTCTAGACCACCGAGTATGTATCCGACGGTGTTAATGTCTAGCTTTGATCGTTCAGTGATCTTGTTCAACCGTTCATTCATTGCCTGAGGTGGATACCTGCCTCTAGCTGATACGGATTGAACTCCACTAGTCATGACTTCTCACTAGAACTCTAGTAGATCTATCTTAAAGCTATATATATATATATATATATATATATATACCGTTGAAGTTTAGTAGATCAGCTACCTACGTTTTAATTAGAGTCACGTACAAATCACACTCTAGGATGAGCATACTTATCGTTAAATAATGAATGACCACAAATCTTAACACGGATAACATCTAACTACACTGCCTCTGCTTTTACCGTTCAAGGTAGAAAATTTATTTTGCCCGGATTCACATTTGGTATTCCACTAAATGATGTATGGTTCTTATTAACAGTGATCATATCTGTAAGCTTTCCCAACTGGTGATTTCTACTAAGGTGTTCATTTAAATAGCTGAAGCATAAAAGAGCTCTTCTCATACTCCATATCATACTTATCTACTTACTTACTTTACTTTCGCCTGTTACTCCCAATGGAGCATAGGCCGCCGACCAGCTTTCTCCAACCCACTCTGTCCTGGGCCTTCTTTTCTAGTTCTTTCCAGTTCTTGTTCATTCTTCTCATGTCTGTCTCTATTTCTCGGCGTAATGTGTTCTTTGGTCTTCCTCTTCTCCTTCGACCTTCAGGATTCCATGTGAGGGCTTGTCTTGTGACACAATTGGGTGATTTCCTCAAAGTGTGCCCAATCCACTTCCAGCGCTTCTTCCTGATTTCTTCCTCCGCTGGAATCTGGTTTGTTCGCTCCCACAGTAACTTGTTGCTGATAGTGTCTGGCCATCGGATCCGAAGTATCTTGCGTAGACAGCTGTTAATAAACACTTGTATCTTCTGGATAATGCCTTTCGTAGTTCTCCACGTCTCTGCCCCATACAGAAGAACTGTCTTGACATTTGTATTGAAAATTCTAACCTTGGTGTTGGTTGACAATTGTTTTGAGCTCCAGATGTTTTTCAGCTGTAGGTATGCTGCTCTTGCTTTGCCGATCCTCGCCCTCACATCTGCATCTGATCCACCGTGTTCATCAATGATGCTGCCCAGATATGTAAAGATTTCCACATCCTCCAAAGCTTCTCCGTCAAGTGTAATTGGATTGGTGCATATTGTATTGTATCGGAGAGTCTTGCTTTTCCCTTTGTTTATATTGAGACCTACTGCTGCTGAGGCTGCTGCTACACTGGTCGTTTTCTCCTGCATTTGTTGTTGCGTTTGTGATAGAAGAGCCAGATCATCCGCGAAGTCTAAATCGTCAAGCTGCATCCTGCCTGTCCACTGTATCCCGTGCATTCCTCCAGATGTTGACGTCTTCATAATCCAGTCGATCACCAGGAGAGAGAGAAAGGGTGAGAGTAGGCAACCTTGCCTAACACCGGTCTTTACCTCGAACGAGTCGGTGAGTTGTCCTCCGTGGACGATTTGGCAGTTTAGTCCATCATAGGAGTTCCGTATGATATTTACTATCTTCTCAGGCACACCGTAGTGTCGAAGAAGCTTCCACAGTGTCGTCTTGTCCACGCTATCAAATGCCTTCTCGTAGTCGATGAAGTTGATGTACAGTGATGAATTCCATTCGATTGATTGTTCCACAATGATACGTAGAGTTGCGATTTGATCTGTGCACGATCTATCCTTACGAAATCCAGCTTGTTGATCTCGAAGTTGAGCGTCCACAGAATCCTTCATCCTGTTTAACAATACTCTGTTGAAGACTTTTCCTGGTATTGAGAGGAGAGTGATGCCTCTGTAGTTGTCGCACTTGCTCAGATCGCCTTTCTTTGGTATCTTGATGAGAAGTCCTTCTTTCCAGTCTGTTGGTACATGTTCTTCGTCCCAAATCTTACCGAAGAGGATGTGGAGTATCTTGGCAGTTGCTGCTACATTTGCTTTCAGTGCCTCTGCCGGGATGTTGTCTGGTCCCACTGCTTTGCCACTCTTGATTTGTCTAATGGCCATGCTGATCTCTTCAATTGTTGGTGGGCCAATATCGATTGGGAGGTCTGTGGGTGCTGCTTCGATGTTGGGTGGGTTCAGTGGAGCTGGTCGATTCAAGAGTTCTTTGAAGTGTTCTACCCACCTGTTTCGTTGTTCTTCAATATCGTTGATTACTTTGCCTTCCTTGTTTTTCACTGGTCTTTCTGGTTGACGGTAATTTCCAGCAAGTTTCTTTGTTGTATCATACAGTTGTCTCATGTTTCCCTCTCTTGCAGCCTTTTCCGCTGTCATCGCTAAATCTTCCACATATTTACGTTTGTCGGTCCTGATGCTCCTCTTCACTTGCTTGTTTGCCTCTGTGTATTCGGCTTGTGCCTTGGCTTTTTCTGCTCTTGTTCGGCTGATATTGATTGCTACCTTCTTGTTCCTCCTTGCTTCAATCTTATCCAGTGTACCAACAGTGATCCATTCCTTGTGATGGTGCTTCTTTTGGCCCAGAACCTCCTGACATGTTGAAACGATTGCCTCCTTGATACCTTTCCAGCTGCTCTCTATGGTGGTTCCCTCTCCATTGAGTAGGTCATGAAAGGCCTCGAACCTGTTGCTGAGGGCTACGTTAAATTCGTTGAGTTTGTCAGCATCTCGAAGAAAGGCCGTGTTAAACTTTTGTGATGTTGTCCGCGCCATTGTCCAGTGCTTCTTGAGTTTTAGTTTCATCTTGGCGACCAGCAAATGGTGATCGGATGCTATATCAGCTCCTCTCCTGGTTCTCACATCCTCCATCGTCCTCCTGAACTTTTTGTTGATGCAGACATGGTCGATTTGATTCTGTGTAGTGTGATCCGGTGAAATCCAAGTGGCTTTGTGTATGTTTTTGTGTGGGAATATGGTGCCACCTATGACCAGTTTATTGAAGGCACATAGGTTTGCAAATCTCTCACCGTTTTCGTTCCTTCCTCCCAGTCCATATTGTCCCATGACGTCTTCGTATCCAGTGTTGTCCTTTCCAACCTTGGCATTGAAATCTCCCATTAGAATGGTCAGGTCCTTGGTTGGGCACTTCTCGAAGATTGACTGCAGCCTATCGTAGAATTGGTTTTTAGCGTCTTCATCGTAGTCGTTGGTCGGCGCATAGCATTGGATGATGTTCATTGTAATGCCCTCTCTCTTTGTTCTGAAGGAGGCTTTGATGATCCTCGGTCCATGAGATTCCCATCCTATAAGTGCATTTTGTGCTTTTCTAGACAGCATCAGTGCCACTCCTTGTGTATGTGGGGCATTTTCTTCTTCATGATCGGAGTATAACAGAAGTTCCCCTGAAGACAGTCGTTGTTGTCCAACCTGCGTCCAATGTGTTTCACTGATTCCAAGCACTTCCAGGTTGTATTTCCTCATTTCCGCAGAAATTTGGAAGACTCTGCCGGTCTCCCACATTGTCCGGACATTCCATGTACCTATAAAAATTGTCGCTCTGGTTGTAAGAAGGTGCATCGGCCTCATGACTTCCGAAGGAACTCGGCTTTCATCATGAGACGTCATTTTTCCTTCTACTCCCAGGGCAGAGTTTGAATGGTTTGAATGAATTTTTCTGGTTAGCGTTTTTTTAGCGAGTTGATTT